AATGCAATCTATCTAATGACACAAGGCACCTCTTTAAATGGCCAACACCCAGGGGATCCCCAATAGCTGCTTAATAAGGACAGTAAAAAGCCCCAGCATACAAAATGTCGACTAAATCTGTGAGCTACTCAAAGGCTTCCAGACACTAATGAAGACACAGTACTTTTTAAAACTGTGTCAGGCTGCTATGAGATCTGAGAAACATTTCCCCTGCTAGTAGCTGTTAGCGCTGCTAAATGCTTAAGTTCCCGCCTTAAAATCATCCCACTGATTACCAAGGACATTGATTACCAGTACAAAACCAAGATGCCAACAGTATCAAAAAGACCAAGGCAAATATTACACTGTTAAGAATCGATCTTGAAAAAAGGAAAATCTTCATCACTTTATGGTTTGAAAATATAACATCCCTCTCACTCTGCTTACCTCAGCCTGGGTTCAAACTGATTTTATTATCTTTTAAATAGAGTATTTACATATTATTTTTGGTTATTACGGGTTATTTTTGACTATCAATCCTACTTCTCAAAGGCCTCACCAGTTAATTTTAACTTGGCTGCTAACTTAGCTGAAAAATGCTGACTGGACTGATTAAATGTAATATTAAGAGACTGTTTTTGCTTTGTCTAAATATTTAGCATAAAATCCCGTTTTTGTGGTCCTATACATTGGACCATCTGGGGAAATGTATGTAAATAATTTCATACTCTTACTGCTCAGGGAAAGACCGAAACTGTCCGTTAAGTTTATCAAACAATGATATTATGCTCAACAATCAGATACCAGATCCTGCATGGACTTAGATTTCCATTTGCATCTGGGTAATACTAACAAAAAAGCCGACAGTATAAGTCTTGTCCTGCACCGCACTCTAAAGGCATTCTGCAAACAGTATAAACATCCCTTTCTTTTAAAGGCTGCCTGCAATATCCATGGTTCCTTGCATCATGAACAAATTAAATTGGTTACGGTTAGAGGTTACAGTTGCTTTGTAACTACCAGAATGTAAATTCATCTGCAGTCAATGAGCGTGATGTGTTCAATAATTCAGTAACACAAATGTATATTTTTTAAGCTGCTGACACTTCCAATGACTGATAAATGCATTTCCTTTAGAAACAAATTACTGGCTTTCCTTCACATTCTTTTCAATTAAACCCAAATTAAAGTGTAGGCAACATCAATACATAATTTCTCTTTCAGTGTGATATAAAGCTAGAGAAGTCTCATCCAGTATCAGTAATACACTCACCAGTCCTTAATTATTGGAATCAATAAGGTATGAAGGCATACACTACTTTCTCCGTTTCACCCCTCCAACCCCATTTTCCACGAGGATTCTTACTTCATGAATCCTTCTTTTGGTTGCCAGTGACAAGTAATGCTGTAGAAACATATGGAATTTCACAGAAAGTGCTGACAATATTGGATCATTGTGGCAAACCTTTCCATTCAGGACAGAAAAAGTTCCAATGACAGTTACGAATCTTGGAACACAGCATTGATACTTATTACGTAATTGCGATTAATTCTGACATTATAGCATATCAACTGAAGGGTCGCAGAAGCAGAAGTAGGCAACTAAGCCACTCAAGTCTCTTCCATCACCCAACTGGATCATCCTACTCCTCTGATGCTGCTTGGCCTGCTGTGTTCATCAAGCTCTACACCTTGTTATCTCATGATTAATGTGTATCTTGTAGGTCTTGAGGCACAGTGGGTAGTATACCAGACTCTTGAGTCAGAAGCTATGGTTCAAAGCTATCTCAACACTTGATAGGCAACAAAGCTGCCTTCAGAACACAGTCAAGCCAATGGTAGGCAGTAAGAGCAGGAGAGATTGCTGTCAGTCACGTGAGGCAAAGAATCACTATCCAGAGCTCCAGCCTACAATATACATGTAAACGTATGTGGTACCACAGCAACTCACAGTCCAGTGAACTATGGCACCTGCATGTAATGTGTGTCTTATAACATTACTAAACCTTTCCACCTTTACTTCCATCTTCAGGTCCATCCTTAAATCCTACCAGTCACCTACTCTAATATCCCTTGGTGTATTTCAGTTCTAAATTTTGTTTAATTGCACTCCAAATGAAATGCCCTTGGATGTGACACTGCGCAAAAAGATGTTACATAAATACAAGTTATAGATGTTAATTTTGCATCTCATAAAGATTTGTCCTCCCGCACCCACCTTGGCTAGATTACTACTGTGTAATTACTGTTGTGTATGGCTTACAAAGGAATGGCTTATACAGCAAATACGTATATTGATAATGGCTGCAAATTCAATCTCCTCCCTCTAATTGTTGTATGACAATTGAATCCTAAGAATCAGATCCTTGTGCATGACAAATCCATCCAAACAGCGCAAGCTTTACCACAAACATAAATAACTACATAAAGCTGGAGATGTGACAGAAACTAAAATGTCACCAAAATTCAGTAGATTTTCCTTTTCAGAGGTCCAGGTCAATGAATCAAGGTGAGGTGAAATGGAGATGGTTGTATCTTGCACCCAACCTCATGCGGTACCTGTCATGGGGGTGCTTAATTGGGCAAATTAGAGGGAGCTTTATTCAGTATTGAACTCTGCACAGGTCCTGCACTTAGGCTTCACTCTATGCAACATGCTTACATTGAAGCAGCAAAACTAAAGTAGAAGCAGTGGGCCAGATCTCCTGGTTAGTGATGTGATGGGGGCAATCGTTACTGACCACAAGGATAATTATGGTCTTACTTTTTACCTTGCAGCTGGATCTCCCTGTCCTGGCTGTTGCAGCAATCTCTCATTGTAACCAAGCTCAGGGAACAATAGTGAAGAGGAACAGGGCAGAGGACAGACTCCCTTTCTACCAAATCTGCTGCACTGTTCAAAGAACTTTTTAATAGTCTCAAAAGTTTTAGTGGGGTTAGTGGGGGGACTGAATGGGTGGAGGAGGGGGATTGAGTTGGGGGTTGTTGAGTGGGTGAAGGGTAACGGAGGGTTGATTGAGTAAAGAGGGGTGGAGCAGGTGAAGAGGGGTAGAAAGGATGGGTGGAGGTTGAATGGGGACTCAGCAGTCAGGGTGGTAGGGAGTGGATTCAAAAGGGGTGGGGCTGCTGCTGAGTTGGGCGTAGGAGTGTGAGCAGCCGGGTGTGGAGAGAGGGAATGAAGAGGCAGGTTTAGTTGGGGAGTTTGTGGTGAGTGCTGGTGGGATAACCTTCACTATTAGTCCCTCACCTGGGACAAATGGAAGAGTCAAGACATTTTTGGAGGGGCTTGGGTAATGCAGTGTTTAAATTCCTGGGGAAGCTAACATGCACGCGCAGTCAAGTCAGGACACCCTAACGGTCTTAGCGTGAGACAATGTGAATGTTTTAACATTCACTCCTATTGCCATTGGAACATCTGGTCCAGTATTTCAGTTTGCATGGACAGCGGTAACAACACACCCAAATGAAACAGAAATAAAAATGCACTGATTGTAAAAAGTATCAGAGTAAGCAGGTACTTTGAGAAGATGCAGTAATTAAATTACAATTAAAAATGCATTGCTGTGAAAATACCAATGATAAAAACTGACAGTGACAGCTGATACATATAATGATGGATGTACTTCTTTTCCACATCAATAAATCTCAATTCACTAAATAAATGAAAAACTGCAAATCACAATTTCACCCAGGTAACTGGCAATGTAATCGTCCAACTTAGAGTATCCTTTACTGGAAAACATGTAACGTCATCAAGTTGTTAATGCTATTAGGCCTATGTAATTATTCTGTTAATGTTCATTAGACTCATGGAAACATAGCTTAGGCAAGATGGTGGAAGAGTTGGGGCTAAGGGCACAAGGAACGGCTACATACACATATGGAAAAGGTTCAAGGAGGAGACGAAAGCAAACTGTGGCTCTCTCAGGTCTGGTTCGCATTCAGCCGAGATCTATTCCTTCTCTCCCTCTTGGATGTGGAACGATTTCATGGGAAAGATTTTAGGACAGTTTTAACTGAGCACATCCAAGTTATTATTTTAATTCACGAAGACTCGGATGGCTGGTGTGAGAAATGGCATTATGGCATTGCACAGAGGACATGCCTGATGTTAACGAAGGGAAGGCAGTAAGGATGGGGGCGGGGGGCGGGGAAACACTTCATCACCTCAGGAATTTGCAAAACATAGAGCCAATGAAGTGTAATATTTAGATCAGAATGTATCAATTTGTGCACAGCAAGCACCCACAATAAGACATGTGAAAATGACAAAATAATCTGTTTCTGTGTTGACTGGGGGATAAATATCGGCTTGGAAACCAAGAGAACTCTCCCTTGTTCTCCTTCAAAATAGCACGATGGGACTTTGTATGTCCAAGTGAGAGAGCAGATAGGACCTCTGCTTCATGCCTCATCTAAAAGGTAGCACCTCTGACAGTGCAACCTCGCTTAGCACTGGAATGTCAGCCTGGATTTTGCGCTTAAACCAGTGGAGTGAGATTTGAACCCATAGCCTTGGTGCAAAGGTGAGTTTGCTAGCTACTGAGCCACAGCTGATGCACAGAGGGCACAATGAACTTAAAGTTTGAAGAACAAATTTTAAAATAAATTTCTTGTCAAGAGAGAGAACAGATTTACAACAGCAACAATTTGCTTCCAATATTTTGCAATAAACAACTTTTAATTGGCAAAGCCGATCACAAACTGGCGATTTTATTATCTCAATCAAGTTCCAGAGTGTTTGATGTGTGAGCTTTGTTGAATAAATCACACCCACAGAAATAAACAAGGTCATGAATGTGTTTCCTCCTCTGTGCCTGTGGCAGCATACTAAATGGATACAATAACAAAGCAAAGGCATATTATGAGACATTCTGCCATTTTTGAAACACCTGGCCATTGTGAGGAAAATTAGGAATTCCTTAATTTCTGAACGGTTTCTCTCTCCTATAGATGCTGGCCGACCTGCTAAGTTCCTCCAGCATTTTCTGTGTTTCTCTAAACCACATTGTGAGACTTACCACTGCTGATGCCAGAGTTGGCGATGACCGTGGCTTCACTCCACTGGTCAGCACTGGACACGGAGTATGAGCGTTGGTGCATGCCCTCGGGACGGCTGTTGAAGGAGACCAGGCTGATTCCACATGCCATCTGTGTTGCTGAGCCTGTAGGGGTCACATTACCTGAGGTTGGAAAGAAAAGGAGCTAAGTCCCTTAATGGAAGCATTGCCTTGTATATAGTGCATGGTGCTCTCTCAGATGCATCACCATCTAACAGTAGCATAATGCTCAATGAGGGAGTGGACAGAACAGCACAGACAGGCTGAGCATTTATCCTCTGTAAAGTTCAGTTTATTTACAACTCTACTGCCATATCCTAAATAACAAGTAATCCAGTTCATTCATCACAGCTGTGGGTCAATACTTATATTGGCTCCTGGTTCCCCAACAACTTTACAATTCTAAAATTCTCAAATGAGAACAGAAGGTGCTGGAGAAACTCAATAGGTCTGGCAGCATCTATTGAGACAGAAACAGAGTTAATGTTTCCAGTCCAATGTGACTCTGGAACTGAAGGGGATTGGATAATTGCTTTTTATGCTGCTTACAAAGAGGAAAGAGGAGCAAATGGAACACTTAGCAAAAGTGCCCAGAGCAGAAGGCAAATGGAGTGCTAATGGTAATATAGGAGAGTTGTTGATGCCAAATAGGTGTTAATGACAGATCACTAGCAGATAATTGGTCAGCTTTGCTGAGAGCAGATCCATGAAAATCCAAGACAGGGTCGGGAGTTAAATGGAGTATAGCAGCATTCATGGTCCAAAGTTGTTGAATTCAATGTTGAGTCCTGAAGACTGTTAAGTGCGTCAGCGGAAAATGAAATGCTGTGCCTCCAGCTTGCTCTGGTTTCTTTGGAACACTGCAGCAGACTTAGGACAGAAATGTTAGCTTCCAGTCATTTGTTAATTTAATAAAAACTGAAAGAACTGTGGATGCTGTAGGTCAGGAACAAAAACAGAAATTCTGAGGGTCCCTGGATCCGAAATGTTAACTGTTGTTTTTCTTCACAGATGTTGCCAGACCTGCTGAACTTTTCCAGCAACTTCTGTTTTTGCGCTATTTTAATATACCATCTTGTATAAAGGTGCTGTTTCCACTCCTGTCACTGTTCTCATGTCCTCTGGGGATCTCTCCCTACAGCTTCCCACCTCGTAGACCCCCAGCCCATACAACCTACTTCTACCTTCTTCTCAAAACCCAGTAATGAGATTGCCCTGAGAGCCTCATTGTTTCAGGCTGTTCCTGTCCAACCTGAACATTTTCCTTCCCATCTTGATGGTTTCTCCCCACCTTGTTCAATCTTTTTCCACCTACATTTGAGATCCTTCTGATGTTTTATGTTGGTTCTATATTTTCCAGTTTCCTGGTTCTAGCTGCCTCTTCACCATGAACCATGTAATTCCTCTACACATTCATACCCCATCAAGATGATCTAAAGGCTCGCTGCTTTTTCCTCAAAAGCAGGCTTGAACAATCCCCATCCACTATCACCCTTCTCTGCTGGCTAAGGTCATTCCCATGTTGAACAATTTCTTCTTTTTCATGTCACTTTCTCCAAGTAAAAGGCGTGTATCTATATTTGCATGGATCTCAGTTGTGCCTGATATTTTTGGTGCAGCTTTCTGCTCTCATCTGGAATTCATCTCTGCTTCCAATTTTCATCCATCTCTCACATACATTCAATGGTAAGGTCCTAGGGAGTGTTGCTGAACAGAGAGACCTTGGAGTGCAATTTCAAAGTTCCTTGACAATGGAATCACAGGTAGATAGCATAGTGAAGAAGGTATTTGAAATACTTGCCTTTATTGGTCAATGCATTGAATATAAGAGTTGAGGGGGGGTCATGTTGCAGTCATACAGGACATTGGTGAGGGCACTTTTGGAATATTGAGTGAGATTCTGGTCTCCCTGCAATAGGAAGGATGTTGTGAAACTTGAAAGGGTTCAGAAAAGATGTACAAGCACGTTGCCAGGGTTGGAGAGTTTGAACTAGGGGAAGAGGCTGAATATGCTAACTCCCGTGGAGTGTTGGAGGCTGACGGGTGACCTTATACAGGTTCAAAAAATCATGAGGGGCATGGATAGGGTAAATAGACAAGGTCTTTTGCCTGGGGTGAGCGAGTCCATAACTAGAGGGCATAGGTTTAAGGTAAGAGGGGAAAGATTTAAAAGGCACCTAAGAAGCAACTTTTTCACGCAGAGGGTGTTGTGTGTCTGGAATGAGCTGCCAGAGAGAGTGGTGGAGGGTGGTACAATTACAACATTTAAAAGGTATCTGGATGGATGTATGAATTGGAAGGGGTTTTAGAAGGATATGGGCCAAATGCGATTAGATTTATCTAAGATATCTGGTCAGCATGGACGAGTTGGACCGAAGAGTCTGTTTCCGTGTTGTACATCTCTATAACTTTATGTACCTTGTCCATGTCCAGCTCTGACTCTTCCCTTTCCTTCCATGACCTCAGTTTCCATTTCTGGGCATAGGCTGACAACCAACATCCATTCCAAACCTAGTGACTCCCAGTTACCTCGAATGCACATCCTCACAGTCTGTTTCCTGTACAGACTTCATTCCACTCTCCCAGTTTCTCTGTCTCCATCATGTTGATTCTGATGATACTACCTTCCACAGTTTCCTCCTTTTTCCTCAACCCCCAACAACTATTGTTGACATGGCCCACAGCTGTGCCTAACCATTCCCGCACTTCTACCCTTACTTCTTTCCCTTTCTTTCAGAACAATGATGGGGTTTCCCTTCTCCTCACTTGCCACTCCATCTCGGAATTCAAAAAGGGTCACCTTCCGCTATTTCTGCTACATCAAGCAGTATGCCACATCTGCCAAGCACATCCTCCCCTCCCTCCTCCGTCAGCATTCTGCAGGGATGTTCCCTTCCCAACAGCCTTGTCCATTCTCCATCACTGTAACATCTCTTTAACACCTCACCTATGCCCCTTCCCACATAATCATCGAAGTGTAACAGTTGCCTTTTTCCCTCTCATTGTCCAAGGCTCCAAACATACCTTTCAAGTGAAGCAGTGATCTATTTGTACTTCGTTCAAATATAGTCTACTATATATGCTGCTCACAATGTGGTCTCCTCTACATTAGCATGAGCAAATGCAGACTGAGTGACTACTTTGCGGAAAACCTCTTGTTCTATCTGTAAGAATTATCCCAACTGTAAATTGCTTCCAATCAAATACACCACCTTGCAGCAATATTCTCTATCTTGGCTTCAAATCATTCTATGCTCTCTCTTCCCACTGCCCTTGCCCTTTTTCATCTTATTAACTTCCTCTAGCACTTCCTTCAATTCTGGCTTCTTGCACATCTTGGATCTTAATTGCTCCACAATTGGTTGACCTGGCCTTCACCTGTGAAGACCCTAAGCTCTCTCTTCTCTTTAGGATACTTCTCAGAACCTACCTCTTTGACCAAACACCTGTCCTAATGTTTTACTCTGGCTTGCAGTTTTTCCTATGAAGTACTTTGGGACACTACACTCTATTAAAGGCACTAAAAAACGCAAGCTCTGTGATGAAGAAAAACCACTACAGCCAGTACAGGTTTATTCATTTTACAGGGCAGGGGGCAGTTTGGGGAATATTGATTTATATTCAATAATAATGGCAAAGGATATCTCAGGCTTATCCAAACGTATGCTGGATTCCCTGCAATATTCTTCTCGCATTGATAAGATGCAGACAAAGACACATAACTGAGAGACAGAAAGAGACAGATATCAAAGTGCAAAGTATTTGAGCTATTGGAGGAATTATTTTTAGTTCCAACACAAGAGGTAGCCAAAGAGAGAGTGCTGCCTGCTGATAACAGATGCAATCACAACCAGACTTGATCTCCCTGGAAAGAAAAGCAGTAGGACAGCATGGTTGCTGATAGTCCTGTGATCTGCAGAGAGGTGGAGAGAATATGCAGCAGACAGATGTGGAAGTGCCCTGAATATACAGCTATATTGACTGGGTGAGGGAGTCTCGTGGGCAATATAGCCTCTTGCTACTAAATTCTTTGACATTCAACATCACATTTACTCAGGCTTCTCAAATGTGCTCGAAATGTCATATTTCTGGGACTCACCATTGGCCTTGAGCTGAAACATCCCCAGAACAGCACAAAATTATCTGTCTGTGTCTAAATTGGTTTATGGCTTGCTGGAATGGGAGGGCCACAGTTACCTGAATCAATCTAGTCTGATCCCAAATCAACCGCTGCCAATGGGAAATGTTACTCCACTTCAAAATTCTAAAGGAAGCTTTCCTCTTTGCCACCACCTAGTTATAACTTAATAATTCTTCAAAGTGGTTCGGGACCTTTGCTCACCACCAACTTCTCAAAGGCAATTAGGGACGAACAATAAGTGATGGCTGAGCCAGCGATGCTGATGTCCTAAGAACACACAAACAAACATATCTGCCCTCTTCCTCCCAGTCCTTGTCTCCAATTATCGGAAATCTTTGCCTTCTCTTTACTGACCCTTTTGTCAGTGTGCCCCTGTACATTCCATCAAAATCTCTTATAATTTTGAATATGCCTATTAAATCTTCCCTTAAACTTCCCTGTTCCAAGGAGAACAATCTCAGCTTTTCCATTCTTTTCAGAACACTGCAACAAATCCACTCATGTAGTTCACTAATTTCTTCAACGTGGTTAATTGGATCTCAGCTTTAAACATTAACATTTAACAGTGGCCATTTTATCCAACTTGCTCTAAACTTCCCAGCAGACTTTGAAGTGAATTTATGCTTTTGTGTGCTTAGAAGAGGTGAAGAAAGCATTGGAGTTCATTAAGAGAAAGCAGGCTACAGGTTTCCTAAAGAAAGAATAAGTGAATTAATTACAATCTCTTGATATTAATTACCTTTACAAAACTGAAAGCAAGCTACCAATTTTATTATACATCTGGTGCTTTTACATCTTTTCTACAAATTATGCATCCGATCAAATCACAGGTTGATGTGCACATTTCCCCCATTCTCTTCCCTATTATTGTGCTGATTGCAGTTCCCAGCACAGATTACCCTCCTCATCTTGTACACGAACCACATGCATTGTATACAATCCACATCCTGTTTTTACTGAATGCCACAAACATAAAATCCAG